CATGCGACGACCCACTAGTTACTCATTTCGCAGTGTGTGACATTTGGTTATTCCGCTGTTGTTGTAAAACGCTTTATTACTCATATCAACAGAATTTTGTTTTCGACATGAAGCTTGATTAATTTGTGGGGTTTAACGTCCCAAAACCACCATGTGATTATGAGAGACGCCGTAGTGGAGGGCTCCGGAAATTTCGACCACCTGGGGTTCTTTAACTTCGACATGAAGCTTGCCTAAAGTCAGTTTGCAAAGGAGTTTCAAGCACTGGCTTGGCTCAGTGGTAAAATATTGGTCTGGCACGCATGGACCCGGGTTCGAATCCCGTTTTGTCCCTGATGTTTCTGAGCTATTCTTAATTAGCGTGATATCGGTATAGACACGGGCGGTGGCGGCGGACAACCACGGCGCTACAGCGCCAAAAAACACCCTAGTTGTGGTCTCATAACAGCTTTCACGGTAAAAGAGATTTGTTTACGTTAGAGAAAGTATATAATGTGATGCGTCAGCGCGACGTGGTGCCGTAGGAGAGGCACTAGTAAGCGGTGCTCTTCACCCATTGTGTGGAGATAAAGTGGACGAAGAAACTGGCGACAGTGAACGTTCAAGCCGCAGTCTTCCCCTTCGTTCGGGCCATTGACTGACCGGGGTAGTGCGTAGAGGAACGGGGGGATCAAACGAGCCGGAATGTCTGACGCGCCCGGGTGGCGTGTCGCGAACTGCCAACGTTTTGTTGTCAACACGACAACAGAGGACCCCCCGTCGAGTGCGTAAGGGTAAAGGAAGAATAGCGTTCAAGTATGGTGTGGGCACAGGCGCCACCGAGGCGGAGACGTGGGGCACAATAGGAGCATTGTAGTAGTAAGCGATTCCTTTTGAAGAGGGAGAGAAAAAGAGGGCGCGCGGCGGCGGTCTCTCGGTTCAAAATCCCGAAAACGCAACAAACGCATCGGAAGGAAGTGGGTGCCAGGGAGTCGCGAGAGAGGAGGAAAAGCAGACAGAGATCGGCGGACAAGGCATTCGAGCTTCCCAACAGGCTGAAGAAAAGCCATATTTTTGCTCCAACGGGACAGAGCCACGCGTCATGCAGGAGTCGACATGCGCTTCTTGAAGAAAGAGCTTGACCTAGAGGACAGTACAAGCGCCGGGAGAGACAGTGTACCATGGAACTGCTGCGGTTACGAAAAATCAAGCCATCTTCGAGAGGAGAACAAGTGTGAATTCGACACGACGTTTCACATAACAGGGACCAAGTCGACAAGACCGTGAGTATGTCGAGAGTCGACGTTCCGAGTCCCTGCGGACCCAGCTGCAAAGTGAAGCCACTGCGCCATTGACGCCTGAGTGGACTAAGAAACGTTATTGGAGGGTCAAGTTGAGCCGGTCGTGCTAATTAACTTCAGGCATAACTAATTAGTGCAAAAATGACAGGCGACACGGTGGAAAAAGAGGCAGGAAGACCACGTCTTGCCTGTTTTATTTACCACGTGTGTTGTACTTTTCTGCGCTAATTAGTTATGTCTCAGAAAGGGGTTTAGCATGGGCAGGAATTGTGCATAAAACAATTGTGTTGGCCCTATCTTGTGGATTTCGCGATTGGTCTACCCAAAGCCTGTTCATGCAGTTGATTTACGCGTAGCCTCAATATTTCATTCGCATTATGTTTTCAATAAGAGTTCTTCAAGCTAAGAGTTCTTGAAGCAATATCATGGAAACGAATTAGCTAGACACCAATCAATAATTCTGAAACATGTCCATTCAATACATTTGTTTAAAAAATAACCGTAAATGTTGACTAATCCATAATAATTAAATTACTTCAGTAATGAACACTCTGACTTGGTCAAGAGGACCAGGGAAAATACTAAGCTCACCGAGCTTTTGTAGCGTGCGAGTAGATTTATTCAGTTTTACTATATATATATATATATATATATATATATATATATATATATATATATATATATATATATATATATATATATATATATATATATATATATATATATATATATATATATATATGTGTGTGTGTGTGTGTGTGTGTGTGTGTGTGCGAATGTGGAAGCGTGGTTGCAAATACAACGTTTCGCAAGTGCGACAAGGCATTGCGTAAGACGTAACGGCTGATCAAATTAAAACAAGAAAGGGAACAGGAGGAATGGACAAGTGAAATGGGGGATTTGGGTCAAGGCTATTTTTAATGCTATTTTTAGCAACCTTGGGGCAGAAAAAGAAGCGTCTTTAACTTTGTATCTCGACCAAGTGAAGCGGAGTAAAAAAACTTATGTTCTCATATAGTAACTACAAGGCAACTCGAGTCAAACTTCAGTAAATCTACTCGCACGCTACAGAAGCTCCTGCCTTAATCCCTCTATCATTGCTCTGCGAGTGCCAACGACCTACAAGTCGGAGCCTTCCTCCAAGGGCGTACTCGCGAAGCTACATTCGTATTTCTTCCATCCTTTTACAGTTCTTACTTTTCAACCAAGCAACCTCCGTTTCGCAGGCGCACGTGTTTATTCGCATCCCAGATGGCTTTCTTCTTTCATGACGGCCTGACTCCAAGGCCGGCCAAGCAGTATACGCAAGCTCCACCGACATGAATGGGAACTACAACTTTCTCGCCGTCACGTATCCTTTCTCAAAACATCCGACGCCGGCCGCGCCCAGTCGCTGCGCTACAAACAAGAGAGGCCTGCAGAGCGAAACCGTTTCAGAAGCAGAAGAAACCGTAGGCCGATTGCTTCACAACTTGCACGCATGGCCACGCCGCGACCGTGTCCGGTCCGAGGAATGGACACGGACGCGCATACACTCCTGGTCTCCGTAGTACCGCATTTGTACGCTTGCAATGTGCATGGTCATGTTTATTGTGCTAGGAAAAAGTACTGTATGAAGAGTAATAGAATATCGAAATTAGTAGATAGATAGATAGATAGATAGATAGATAGATAGATAGATAGATAGATAGATAGATAGATAGATAGATAGATAGATAGATAGATAGATAGATAGATAGACAGACAGACAGACAGACAGACAGACAGACAGACAGACAGACAGACAGACAGACAGACAGACAGACAGACAGACAGATAGACAGATAGATAGATAGATAGATAGATAGATAGATAGATAGATAGATAGATAGATAGATAGATAGATAGATAGATAGATAGATAGATAGATAGATAGATAGATAGATAGATAGATAGATAGATAGATAGATAGATAGATAGATAGATAGATAGATAGATAGATAGATTGTACTTGTATTGAAATTTGAGGGGTTTTTGTAGCGTGCATATAAAGCGGTTTTTAAAATATGGGTACGGTAAGACGTGTAATATGCATAAGGCACGTAAAATACACAAAACCTCCACAAAACAGTCACACAGACACGCACACATCACATTGCCCGCGTTACGAACTAATAAAATATATATTTGAGGCCACATGATGTGAAGGAATCTTGAAAGCGACTTCGTTGGACACACGCACAAGCAGCGACATAGTTCGTATACAAAGCATGCTTCATGTTGCATCTCTATGTATGGCTGATATTCTTTTGCTACCGTTCATTGCGCACATTCAGACCGTTCTTCCAAATCCGACTGAAAACGTATATCACGTTGATATTGTGCCCCGCACTCGCTTCAGATATTATGGGCTTCATTTGTACAAGGAAGATTAATTGGATGATGAATATCTTGGTCTATAAATTTGATATGTTAAATCCGCAGTGGAGGCCCATGTAACACTGGTGGTACTATAGCGGAAGGCCCCAGTCTAGCTATTTTGGCCATCTGGGTATTGGTAATGTGCGCTAATCAAATGGGTGGAAGAGCATACTTCACTCACATCATAGCTATTACGAGTTAATGTGCGCATATTTGAATTTTTTTACAAATACGAAGTATAGTTCTCGCAGATTGATTTATTGTTGACTCAAGAATTGTTAGCTTTAAATTGTCGATAGTTGGCTTTGTCCAAATACGAGGGCTAATGTTAACAAAAAGATGTGAGACATATGGAATTACGCAAGTGAAGTATGTTCAGAATGTTAATGCATTTCGCCTCGAAGTACAATTTCTTGAGTGTGAACGCGAAACAGACAACAATTTTCATCCCACCTATTTCATCGATAAAGCATTGGATTGAGGAAGTGCGTGCACTAGCACCTCTTTTCAATTTGAAGTGAGTGATCATTTGCCTTGTATAACCGCATGTGCACCGTTTAAAGCAGAACGTTCGCACTACAACATTTTTCTCCTGCACCGAACACAACTTTTCACTTCAGTCTAGTGGTCTGTTTTAGCTTGTTTCAATGGTGTCATAATAATGGTGCGAGATATAATCGAAAACGTCCTATCTATACGAACAAGCCGCCCAGTTCTGCGAACCCCAGATCAACAATACATTGTCTTCTTTCCTCCTGCGTTGTCAAGATTGTGTCAACGTGAGAACCACCTCTACCCTCCGACCATGGCTTGCTGAGTGCCTACGGAACAGCTGAAACAGGAGCTCAACACCTGACGGTGCCGACATCCCGTTGCAATATACGCATGCTACCTTCGTTTCACGTTCGATGCGCTTGCTACGGTACACGACAGGACAAGAACTGACGTTGGCCGAGAAAAGTCCACACCGACTTTGCCGTTTTCACGTATAGAGTCGCTGAATATGGGCCAGCGTAAGTGAAAGAGCGGGTGAAGAGAGGGATAGATACGGCCGACGCGGGAGCCAGCGCGGCGTCGTCGCCGGTGCTGGTGGAGGTCGCATCGGGAAGTCCGGAGATTGCGCCGGCAGGAGGAGAGAATCGTGTGAGAAGGGCCTCTCGAGCGGTCGCGTGCGTGTGTGCGTACGGCGACGTACCTTGCCCTAAACCCGCAAGCGAGCCGTCACAAAAAGAGAAAAAAAGCTTTCTCCCTCGCAGCGACGAAACTACGTCAAGCGGAGCAAGAGAAAGAAACGAGTGCCTCTGGTGAGGAAAGTTCCGGCGCCATACGCTGTCCGGGAAGTAACGAGGCAACGGGGTGCGCGACGAGGGGTGGTCGGCTCCGAAGGAGGCGAGCGAGGGCGGGCGTCCGCTTTCCGTTGGCACGAGACGTCACCTCCGGCGCGAGCGCACGCTTACGACATCCGCAGCTGGATTTCCCGGCACGTCTAGAAAAGAAGGACCCTCGCATGGCAGTGTGAAGAGCGCCGCAGCAGCCACATCCACCGGTCATACACGACAGGTAAGGGAGCGGCGGCTCTGATTTACGAACCGCGCCAGCCGTTCTTGCCTCGCGCGTTTCTCGCGAATTGAGCGAGGCTCGGGCCGGGCGCTGCGAACCTCGCGCGCCGAGCCAACTATCGAGGTGCCTGTTTGATAGACGCGCAGCTGGAGCCCTTCTGATAGGCGAACCACACGTTTCATTGCGAGCGAGCGCGAGTTTTATTTGGCGCACGCGTGCGCGGCGTGCTTTCTAAAGGCGCAGCTATATATAGCCATGAATAAAGAATAAACGCAGCACGGACAGTCGATTGAAGCCACCTATCTAATGATTCTAAATGACCGCCATGCCCCTTCTGAGATGTGACATTGTCTTTTGACAAAATAGGTGGTGACGTCTGGCGATGTCTGAATGGATGGTTGACATCGTATTGAAGTCAAGCGGTGCGCTGAGACGTGTTTCGCAGACTAACGAGATGGCACTCCTAGGAGGAAAAGAAAACGTACTAGTGTCGAGACGCAGTTGCTTTGCAGGACGTTGGACGGGTTCCAAGCCGCATTTGCCGCGCGCCTTTATGTCGTGACGCGTTCCTGATGTTTTTTTTTTGTTTTTTTTTTAATTTTCAGAAGCTAATCAACCATGTATCGCCTGCTGTGTCTGGTTGCTACCGTCGCCGTGATTACTATGGCCACCGAGCCCGAGCCCGAGGATCGATGGAAACTAGCCCTCGCCAACAACTACCTTGGCCTGAACTTACTCAAGGCCCTGCCGAGCAACGCAAATACGAACGTGTTCTTCTCACCATTCAGTGTGTCGGCGGCCTTAGGCATGGCCTACATTGGTGCGCGTGGCGACACATTGGAACAGCTTACGCTGAACTTCGGCTATACCGCCGAGGAACTCAACGAACAGAAGATCCTGGCACTGTTCAAGGAGCAGCTGGAAGCGGCGCGCGACCTGCCTCACGAGTACACACTCGACATCGCCAACGCAGCGGTCGCTCAGGAAGGCTACGGCGTCCTGCCCAACTACACGGAAGCTCTGGTGAGCGCGTTTGGAGCAGAATATCTCGAAGCAGACTTCAGCAAGAAGGGACAAGAGGCCATCGACAACATCAATAAGTGGGTCAGGGAAAAGACGCACGGCAAAATTCGCAGCCTCTTCGATATGCCGCCGGACATCTCCACGCGGTTGATCCTGCTCAACGCTGTATACTTCAAGGGTACTTGGCTTTACGAGTTCAACAAGCTGAAAACAAAGCCACGCTCCTTTTACAACGGTGGTGTCACCAAAGTCCTCATACCCATGATGAAAATGAAGTCTACGCTCAATCACACGTTCGATGCAATGCTGAACGCTGACGTTGTCGACCTGCCATATGTTGGCAAGGACATCGCCATGACCATCCTGCTTCCCAGTGAGCGTAATGGCATTGAGCACCTCAAGTCGGCCCTTACCACTCAGAACCTGAACAAGGCCGTTGCCAGGATGTACCCGAAAGACATGAAAGTCAGGCTGCCAAAGTTCAAGCTCGACAACAAGTACACGCTCAAGCCAACACTTGAGACATTGGGCATCACAAAGATATTCTCCGCGGACGCAGACCTGTCCGGTATCAGTGGCGCCAAAAATCTGTACGTCTCGGACGTGCTTCACAAGGCCGTTCTGGAGGTGAATGAAGAAGGCAGTGAGGCAGCGGCCGTCACCGGATTTGTAATCCAGCTACGCACGGCGGCTTTTGTCACGCCTCCACCGTTGCCCAAGGTGTACGTTGACCATCCGTTCATCTTCCTCATTCGAAACGTCCACACTAATACTATCATGTTCCTGGGCGAGGTCAACGCTCTCTAAGTCACTGCGTTCCACTCACTTAAGCCGCCATATTGTGCCATTTATCTGCCATTATGTGAGCTTTGCTGGCGAAGATGAAGAAGGTATTGGCGTGCCCCTTTTGTGCTTAAAACATGACATTATCGACTAATACTTCAACCTACTTGCGCGTATCCTTCAGCGATAACTCCCTCTCGAAGGGTACGTTTTCATTTGAGGTGGCAATACTCTGACGACCCCTGTGCTTCAGGATCGTCTTACTTGGATCATGCTTAGTAATCTACCTATGATGGCCATCTCCGGGCGTTGTGTTGCGCACCGAAACTTCTGCACCAATGTGGACCTGGAAATATTTAGTCTAGTCTTCCACCACGGGGCTTGAATGCATGTCACTCAGTGGTTCATCGTTCGCCCCCACTTCGCCGTGATGGCAAGCTCCTCATAATCACAAAGAATATCGCCGATGTGATGTCGCGAGAACGTTCGTTTTATGTGTGTTCGTAGTATATGTGTACAGCGTGGCATCCGGACAATTACGGGTCAATATACAGATCACGGTCACAATGCTGCGACAATGCTGTGAAATAAAGTGCTTATCTATTCTTCGTTTTATACAGTGCCCCCCTTTTTGCGTACCGTGGTAAAACGTGGTATGAGAGTCATTACGTAAACGTGTACGCGGTATATTGTACAGCACGGCGCCCATGGTGGCAGGTAAGTTTGCGACTCAACAGTACGTTAGCTGGGGCAAGAAATTGCGAAGAGCGCCCAATCCGTTACATGAAGCAGACCTCCAGCCCCTTTGTATTGTCGGTGGTGTAGGTTACGCTATTTGCTTATTAGAGACAAGAGGAGAGAAGGTTCGTTATTTGGTTGACTTGACGGACGTATAACGCCCCACTGCGTCTGAGGGTACGAGAGGCGGCACAAGCGGAGGGTTCCGGACAATTTGCACCGCATGGGGTTATTTCAAGGGTTGGAAAAGGAAGTGTGCGATGAGGGAGCCACACAAAATGCATTTGTGATTGTTGTGGTCAGAACTGAGAACCTGAGTTACGCGATGTTCATTTTAGCGATATACTACACCGAGTTGGGTAACCCAGGCTGATGGGCTCGAGTGAAATACTCCATCATGAACAATTTCAATGCAGGGTTGGAGAGGGGTATTCGCTATTTGCAAGACCTTTCTCACTGCACTACCAAATCCTCATTGGTATCAACGGTATGTGTTTACAGTACACACACGTGACGGAGTCGCTAGCAGATCATGGACTTGATCTCGAAATTGAAACATTATTTATAACACCTCGTTTCTCTTACTTGTAGTGTACGAGCCAATATTCCAGATTACATGTAATGAGTACTAATGACACAGACCACGAGATGATGCGCTATGAACATCCGTGTTCGTTCGTTACTTGCCGGCACATTAATAGCATACAACGTAATAACGGTGGTTATCACGATGCCATGCCTTTTGCCTTGCGGCTGTTTGCACGCATTCCGCTATTAGTATATGAGGGCCATTTCTTTGGTATTTTGAAATCAGCCTGATTTATAGGGAAGCTCAAGCACTTTTGAAAGAGAATGACCTTCAAGGAATTCAGCAGGGAAGAAGAGTTCCTTTCCTGCTGACTTCAAAAAGCGGTGTGATAGTTTTCAGGTGTGAACGCAGTAACACTTTTTTTTGCAAAAAGAAAACGAAAGCTTTGGCTTCAGCGCTGCTTGAGATGCTGAGTGAAATCGGTGATGGCATCGTCAATATGCCACGTTACTTGAAACAGCACCACTGCTGAAGTGTGGCCCCCTCTATTAGCTGTGTCAAAGGCACGGCATGGGTTAGTCACGGTGGCCACACTTGAAAATACGAATGGGTGCTTGCGCACGCATGCAGTGTTTGTTATTATTCAAGACATTGCACTCCAGCTGCAGAATTTTTCGGCTTCGCTATGCTTACTTGAGCCTTCGTCACATAAACAACGCTCTCACTTCAGTTCGTATTAGGGAGTGGCGGGAACCTTCCGCGGGAGTGCAACACGGCTGCGCCAAAGGAACCGAGGATGAAGTAAGGTTTCCCCGCCCACACTTTTGGCTTGCTCGCGTGATAGGAGCAAGAATAACTTTCCTTTCACATATTCTAGAGCTCCTGCTGCCCCACAGGTCGCGGTATTGAATCCCGGCTGTGGCGGCTGCGTTTCCGATGAAGGCGGAAATGTAGGCACGTGTGCTCAGATTTAGGTGCACGTTAAAGAACCCCAGGTGGTCGAAATTTCCGGAGCCCTCCAGTGCGGCGTCTCTCATGATCATATGGTGGTTTTGAGACGTTAAACCCCACATATCAATCAATATCAATCAGAGCTCCTGCTGCAATAATCACGGAAAAAAACTACGACATCGTTAACAATAATGTCGGTCATCCTTAACCACGAAATTTCATCATATTCTAAAACTTCTAAATTCTAAAACACTGCAGGCGATCCTCCTCTTATTTGGCAGAAACTAACTGTTTTACACAAAAGAATCTTGGAGACTATGCAACGAAGAACAAGGTAATCAATCACAATGCACTTAAAGCACGTGTATACTTGTAGAGGTCGCTACTTCAATAGAACAAAACAAATGTGCATTAACATACACTAAATAGCACGGCTTAATCATAAAGTGAACTTAAGATGTCTCTGTCACCCACTTATTTGACAACATACTTATTTGACAACATTTTTCATTTTTATTTCAATTATAATCGATGATGTAATTATAAGGTTGTGATAAATTACATGGTTTCCCCGTTCAATAGAGCACGGTGGTAGGCCTAAATATTTGTTCTGGTCAGGTTTGAATACACATGTTGCCATCTAGCATTTTAGGTTATCTCTTCCCAACAACTGTCTCTCCTTACTGAAGCCCGTATTTTATTGTACCCTTACCTAAGAAATAGGAAGGCATAGCGTGACTCAGACAAGGAACGAAACACACACCACACACGAGCGCTGACTCTAGACTTAGGTGCTTAAACGGCAGCGCAATTTGCGCATGCTAAGGCTTGATTGGTGAAAAAACGTTTGAGAGGAAAAAGTCTTACCTAAGCCAGTAACAACCCTGGTTCTATAAATCTCTCCGGTGTCTTCTTTTTTTTACGTCGGTACTGTAAGTTTCATCTTTTGTATTAGTGACTAGGCGCGCGTGTTTATGACCGACGAAAGGAAGCCCGCCGCCGACCATTGGCTGATCTCATCATAAAAACTAAGGCGCATTTGGTGTGGTCACAAATTTGTCAACGCAGACTCCAGGCGAAGTGAAGCAATAGCTCTTTTAGAAGTCTTAGAGTGCACAGACTCATACGGCAACATCGAGGCAAGTGTTCTTTGCCCATGTATATATTGATGTGTACACACCCCTATCCGCTTGCGTCTTGCAACAAAGGGATGCCTTCTATGGTTGTTGATGCGTGGATGTTCCGGTCTCACCTACCACGTTCCAGGACTTTCTTCACTGTGCAGTGACCACACTTGGCGTTTTTGTTTTGTCACAGCAACACGAAGAATGATATGTGGGTTGGATTTCCTCCCGCTTTCGTGTATTCATTTATTATGGTTGTGGCGCAACCAACTTAGACGAAAGAGAATCGTGCAGGACAGGCGCTAAATTTGATTTCAACTGCTTTTGTAATCGCAGAAATGACACGCTTGAAACTTACGTAGAAAGCCACCACGGCTATCGCCCAGTCTGGTCCCAGAATAAACTAATATGTAATCTAATAACTGAATAGAGGAAAAGAATGCGCAATAACAGGGTGCTGTGTCATTTTGCAATCACTCTTGATACACCCCGCTCTTGCCTAGCGGTTTTACAACAACTGCACTTCATTTTTTATTAGTGCCACAGAAGCCTGGCTGATACATGAATTTTTACGTTTCTTGATTTAGTATGTTTCCACAATCTCGCGTGTTCTTTGGTTTTTATGATGCAAAATTGGTGAACCTTCAGCAAAGTCCGGTGAACAGGCGCAGCTTATGCAGTGCTAAAGTGATTCTTGAGCGAGTTGGTTAGGTGGATAATGCAGTGCATTGACAAATTGGAATAAAGTGGGCCTTTCAGTAAGCTGTGACACTCTGGTAATCTTATCTTGAGGCGCCTCCCATTTTTGCCTATGTATGCCTCCCAACTGGTGTGCAAACACTATACCACCCCACACTCACGAGGTGAAAGTTTCGTTTTGTGCGTCCAAATACATACGGCACACTTAACTAAACTGTCGCGGCCTTTTCTTGAACTCCCGAGTGAGAAGTTCCTACTTTTCGACGCGACGTGAAAGCCACGTCAACCTTGTAACTGCAGGTAACGTTTTTCAGGTAGTGAGACAGAGCAGGAACATAAGGCATGGCTGCCCCCTGGCTTGGTGTTGACCTTGTTAATACCTTCCCCGCCATTTCGTGTTTCTAGACTTCCTAAATATCTTTCGCGTAACAGCAAAATTACTGAAATGGGATAGCAAACTTGCTCATTTTTTTATTTACGTCATCGTATTTACTTGCAAACAGAAAATTCAGCGTTTGGATAGAGATGACCGCAAACATGAAATGGCTATGCCTCTTTTCGCCAGGTTAGATTGGCTAGACATGAGGTCCAGAATGCAGGTTTCTTTGATTTTGAGAGATATTGCCAGCACACCAGTCAAGCCTGAGACCTAAGTACTGCAACTCATTGGTTTCGACCATATAATCCAACCTCATGCCCACCTCTTTATAAACATTTAAGGTGTATACGTTATTACTGTTGACATTTTCATTCATTACAAAGACAAGAAAATCATCGGTATTTCAATTTTTTTGAACAATCTCAACAGATTTCTTTCAACACCATCTTGTCTATATTCGCTAAAAATAATGTTGCTCAGAAGGGGCCCCACTCACGGCCCTAAGTAAACGTCGGACCATTGAACAAATACAGGTACGCAACAAATATGTGAACTAAAGTTCCATGAAGCTCTTAACAGAAATTTCACTCCTAGACCTAAATGACTTTTCGTCATTATTTTCACAAATATACATTCCTACGCAGAGTTCAACCATTTTTTTCTAAAGCACGGAATGAAGTAGTTCATCTACATCAATGTTGAAAGCGTTACATCCACGTGCGCTGTCTTCTCTTAGGAAATCTATCAGGCCTAAGGAGCTCTTTAACAGCTGTAGGTCTTCTGTGCCCAAGGAATTCGAATGCAGTAATTTTTCATTGTAACAGCCAGAGGGCCCGCGAGGTACAGGAACCATACCAGATCAAGGAACGTAAAAATTTATGTATCAGCCAGGCTTCAGAGGCGCTAATAGAAAATGAAATGCAGTTGTTGCAAAAATGGTAGGGAAAAGCGAGATACATCAAGATGGACTGCAACACGACACCTAACCTAGTTGGTGCATATTCTCCTCCTCTAATCATCTAGAAGGTTGCTGAGTGCAAGACAAAAAGAGAGAACATAACCAGAAAAACAAGACGTACTACGCATAATGTGTTCTTCTTTCATGGGGACCAGCATACTCATGAAACCTGGATGAGAATAACAACCAAATACGTGCTAACTAAACACAGAAAGTTGAAAGTTATCCCTCCTCCTGTTGTATTTCGTGTCCTGTTCACTTTAATATTATGGTCACAATAACGGCTTCTCACCAACTAATTTAACAATCTGTATTTATGGGCGTCTGGTTTCACTTTTGGCGGCTCTGGTAGATGTGATTTTCGAACACTTGGAAAGTGAATCATGAGGCCTTGAGGGACTAGTTGGTTCATTCTATGCAGGAAAAATTGCGCTCTATTTGTTCTTTTTTTTTTTGTAGTGTCTTTTTCTATCTTAGCGCAGTTTTTCCCGCATTGAAAAATAAAACAGTCCCACACAACAGGGCAGTACAGCTACTGTTCCCGGATGCTTGTCTGAGTGGTATGCCGTGTTCGTGTTGCACTATTGATGCGCATATTCGCGTTGTGTTCGTGACCACAGAAAATGTGAGCCTGGCAGAAATAAAAGCCTACTGGCGCTTTGACCAACAGGCAACTCAGCCCGTCACTCTGCATATACGTGGAATTTCCGACGGGAGAGCTGTGGTTTGCGAGGCACATGACTGAATGTCAACTTGTTTTCCCCTTCCGTTACTAACACGCATGCAACTTTTGCGTGCCTCTGAACTGACGCCACGTTTCGTGAATCCTGTTACGGCACTCTCACCGCTTTTTATATGCGACACGTAGGGGGAAACGATGGCCCGCTGCTTCTGCGAGAAAGTTGACAGGAATGAAAGGAGGTGTCCTGCAGACTTTCTCGTCCACACTCGAAGCATTCCTTGCAGGTACGTGTCTCTATGACAGAGAGACGAAGGAGGAAGGCAGGGAGGTTAACAAAGCTTGGCTCGGCTGGCTACGCCACACGGTGGGTGGGAGAAAGAGAAATAACTATAGATAAGATAGAGAAGCATGAACAGGAGGGAAAAAAATAACAGTTAATTCATACCACACAACACGAACTCACGCTGGTAGTTCACAGGTGCACGTGCACGAAGTCTGGTCGCCTATGGAGCTCGGTAATACTCCCGTGGTCTTGCGCATGTACGAAACCGAGGGTCAAAGTACCAGGATCTTTTTTGATCACGCTCTTACATCAAGACGATCGAGTTTGACTCCTGTAATGTCGAGGTTGAGTCTGGTAGAATGGGAAGTGACATAGAATGCGGTCAACCAGAGACTCCTAGTCTAGTTCAACGTTTTAGACGTCCGTGTACTGTGCGATTTTAGTGCTCGTTAAAGAACCCCAGGTGGCCGAAATTTCGGAGCCCTCCACAACAGCGTCTCTAATAAAAATATCTTGGTTTTGGGACGCGAAACCCCAGATATTATTATTATTATTATTATTATTATTATTATTATTATTATTATTATTATTATTATTATTATTATTATTATTATTATTATTATTATTATTATTATTATTATTATTATTATTATTATTATTATTACTTCCGCATTTATTTTTCCTGAAATTGTGCTTGCTTCTGAACTAGCCCCAGCAAGGTGGGGCTAGTTAGAGCTCGCCAGTCATATTCGCTATATTAAACTGCTCTTTCACTGAGAGTAAGGAGACTGTGATGGAGGCTAGAATGAGCTGGAGTGGACTGAAAAATCACACTTGGTACTTTTCCAGGTCAACCGAGAATGCTGTCACGGAGCTATACGGCCAAGATTGAACCACGCTGAAAAACACCATGTGCCCGGCACTGGAGGTTTGTAAAACCAACGAGTGCGTTTGAACCAATTTCGTTAGAAAATGTGTAAAAGTATACATAAGCGTACTGCTTCGGATATAATTTCAACACACTGGATAGTAATTTTGTTTCAAATGTAAAATTCGTACTATATTTGGCAAAACGAGGGGTCTTATAAAGTTGGACTGTCAAATTACGACTTAATTGTGATATACATGCTCTAGGGAATTCATCACATCCACTAACTTATTATTGAGCGCACTGTTTACCTTACGCCTTTCGTGAAGTACATTCTCTTTCATGCAATAAAAAAAGTTATAACGATAAACGTCTTTCCTATTAATCAAGTGCCCTAACGAGTGATAAAATTCATTCCTTCTCTGTGTAAATTTGAAACTCGCAAAAAAATATTGCTCAATATTTCACAGAATTTTCAATAAATACGACAAGTTAGACAATCAGCTGTTTCATTAACATGGCCATAGTCTAAAATAACCGCTGCTTCCTTCAATTACGGCAATGAAGGCCGCACAGTGGGAGAACCGAAGGAACGTGGCGTACGGGTCGTAGCCTTCACGCGCAGTATTGACCCGCCGTAGCTGTTGGCATTACCACGAATACAGACAATGATAAAACAACGAAACGGGGCACGTCACAAGTCTCTTGGGAAGGCGTTGCCAAATATCCTGGCACAGCTCGGTATCCTGTCCTAATTGGTCGAGCTGTAAGCACCGCGCGGCCCGAGCAACGACATGCACCGATAAAAATGGAGCAAATGCCAGTTCGTTGGAAGGATGTGCACGTGTGGAGACGCGGGCTCGTCCGGCCCCGTGGAACAGCCTCGATAAGGATGACGGCGATGTTTTTTTTTTTTTTTTTCATCTTACTCCCGCTACAGTGACGTTGACGCAAGGGTTGTTTTGAGCGACCGACGGTTCAAGCGCACCAGGCCATATCAGCGTCCCAACCGCAGCAAAGAAAATGAGCAGCTTCCGCCAAGACTGCTCCGCGCGATGCGATAGCCGACCAAGGCTTCATCTCATTTGCCTTTCGCACGATGGGGCTGTCAAGGTCTGCGCCGCCGTACAGGGGGCGCACGTGGAGGGTACGGTGTCGTTCAAGGTTCTTCTAACAAGAACGCGGAGGTTGAAACTGAAGTTAATGATGGAACCCGAACAACACATGCCGTGTTACATGTTGACATTTCGGCGTCTATTTAATAATAATAATAATAATAATAATAATAATAATAATAATAATAATAATAATAATAATAATAATAATAATAATGGATTTATATGTGTTTTTACTCTCTGAAGCCACGATATGATTATTTGGGGTCATCGCGCCCACGAGCGCCATTGGACACAAGGAAGTTCGAGTGGAAAGTCGTCACCCATTTTCAGCATGTCCATATCTCCTTAGGAGCCCCCCCTTGCTATAGCTATCAGTCAAGGCATCAAGTGACCGTAGTTGGACATATTGGTGAAGTTGCGCGCGGATTGTGAGTTGACTGGTATCTGTTTGCCGTGACGTAGAGTTGCGAGCTCCTTATACTCTGACATACGGTACACTTATCTTTGCTTATCTCGTTATTCTCCTGTTGTTAACGTTTCAGGGATCCTCTTTTTTTTTTTTTTGCTGCGGGACAGTTTAAGCGCCCACCGAGAGAGGAGAGTTGAAGTTTACGATACGATAACAACACAATTTGACAAAACACGAAACGTCGACCAATATTGAGCTGTCAAATCGGTTTCATATACGCTTCCGCTTCTGCACGGAAATTTTGTTGACCCACAGAACAAGGCTTCCGTGGCGAGTAATTCAGTACCTTCACGAATTAATGATCACGTAAGCTCGAGTAAATAAAATGTAACAAAAAATGTTTAGCATGTCGCCGGAACAGACGCTTCTTGGAATTCACCCGGCTCGTGGGGAGTCAAGTGTTTTCTGACGACCAAAATCTAATGAGCGCGCGTCTCGACGCCAGCGCGCCACCAACGCGTTGACTTGAGCGACGGCTGCCTGGCGAGCTTATTTCCACGGCGGCCGCCGCCGACGAGCAGCAAGCAAGGCAGCTGTTGCTTACCGCCGTCCCCTCCTCCTGGAACGACCGCCGAGCAGTAGACGGCAGCGATTTTTGCCTCTAGCGCCAACCCCCCGCACGTGCGCCCGCTTGTACGGGCCGCAGCTGGAGACGTTGCTACAATCACTCTCTATTCCAGGAAGGCAAGACACCTCTCGTCTCTTGGTCAGCTGCTGTGGCCATCACAGAAGGTAGACAAGCGAGCGCATCGTTTCGAGGGCCAGGAAAGAAGTCTTAAAACGCTCACGGAATTTCGCGCTTCGGAGGAAAGCTGCGCGGCCTATAAAAGAGGCTGTTAAGTTCTAAAAGTGTTACCGTCGTCTCTCCAGTGCCTCGGTTTTTAATCGCCGTTCTCCGTCGTCCGCGCCAAACTTCGTTTTTGTGACTGCAGTGGACGAGAAGTGAAGCCCTGTGTTGTGTCTACAGATTCTTCAGAGGTTGAACATCTGATCTCTCTTCTGCGCAGGAACTACCTCCGCAAAACCATGAAAATGTGTCGGGGGCAACTTTGATTGTGAGTGTCTTGGTGTTTCAGTCTGCTAATGATGGACGGTTGTGGTTTGTGCCCTGCAATGATAAGATGTGTGTCGTGTGCCAGAGAGCGGCGAGAAATGCTGAATGATGTCAAATTTATATGCAACGACGTTTCTGTCATGACCAAAGAAGAATACTGTGGCAGGGTGATGGCGATTTGGTGACCAACGTAGAAGACAATGGTGAACACGCAAGTGTGACATGCATGATATTTGAGGTTGATTTCCCAGTTGTTATTGTTAAGGGCTATGTTCTCCTGTTGACTCTTCGTACGTCTAAAAAAGTGGTTGGAAAGCAATTCGAAACAATTTAACCATATAAAGTTTATGACAGCCTGGTGATGAAAATAGGGTCATGAACGTTTAGAATAGATGTATTTATCAGAATATATCTATCTACACGGAACCAATAATTACAGAATTATATCATGTTATAACCTTCGCTTATGTGGTTGCACTTGGACTATTATCCTCTAAAAGCAACAATTTAGTGAATGCGCACCTCTCAGAATGAAGTGGCGATGTAAAACTCGCTCACAGATTCCAAGTTGCTGTACGGCAAATAGGTCGTTGTTGTCAATACCGACGACCTGTCTGTCTTACAGGAACGATCATATCAGGCGCCAGCACCATTATCATAGCTAGAAGGGCGTGGAGTGGAAGGTTCTTGAATCCTCTTCTCCCCGAAATTTTTTATTTTGTTTTAATGTTGACAGTTTACATATACGCAAACATACAAACACATCATACGGACGTACCTAAAAATGGTCGAACCCTCCCCACCTTCCAAAAAATAAAAAGCTGACAAATAAAACAAGCCCTTAAATGCGCACTTCTTTCCATCACCATCATCAGACTGGCTTCGCCCAGTGCAGGGCAAAGGCCTCTTGCATGTTCCGCCAATCAACCCAGTCAGATGTACTTTACCTACTTATGTGAAATTATTAGCTCACGTTGATTTGATATGTGGGGTTTAACGTCTCAAAACCACCATATGATTATGAAAGACGCCGTAGTGGAGGGCTCCGGGAATCTCGACCAGCTGGGGTTCTTTAACGTGCACCCAAATCTGAGCACACGGGCCTACAGCATTTCCGCCTCCATCGGAAATGCAGCCGCCGCAGCCGGGATTTGAACCCGCGACCTGCGGGTCAGCAGCCGCGTACCTTAGCCACTAGACCGCCGCGGCGGGACTATTAGAGCACGTTAAAACAGCCTGGCCGACAAAGAGTAATTCTATCCTCTTATGTCACTAACTCGCGTGGCAATGATATAGAGAAAGAAGAAACAAACAAAATAAATTGGCATAGACCCATTAAACTTGCCTTATTAACAAGTATACCCCAATCCTCGAAACTACGCTTTGTGCTGGGGGGTAGTGGTTACAATGAAGAGGAAAAAGGCACCTAATTTCTGTCTGCCTTCAGGCGACACGGCGCAGTGCCTTATAGGGGTGGGGGGAAGGAGGGATAAAAAGAATAGAAGGAAAGTAGAAGCAGAAGAAGACAGCCAACGAGAGGAAAAAGAAGGAGATAGGAAAGTCGGGATCCGGTCGAAGCAGTCCAAGGGCGGGGTGCCACAATGCGAGAGCTACACGGCGTCAGGAGACCGCGGAGGGCGAACCAGTCGGCGGGAGCTACGCTGAAGTCGGAGATCGCGAGGGCACAACCGTCCAGCTTGAAATCCTGCGAGCGAATGGCTTTGTGCTGAACGCTACCTTGAATGTATTAAAATCCGTGCTTCCTGTACGCGAAATTTCTCCAACGTTTCAATTATGATTTAAAATGACTTTCTTTGTTTACAGGATCGAGGCCCGTTGGCTGAACTATGAAGATAGGGACGTTCGTGTTTCTTTTCTGGACGTGTGTGATGCATATGTGCAGTGCGGACGATGCGACGGGCTCGACAAACTTGGCATTGGGCCTCTTCCAACAGCTTTCGACTGACACCTCCGACAACGTCCTTTTCTCTCCCTTCGGTGTATCTGTGTTGCTGGCAATCCTTTCAGCCGGCTCCAAAGGCGACACCAGTAAAGAAATTGTTAGTGTGTTCGGCTCAGATACAGCCATAGCCGCAGTGAAACAAGACATTGAGAGTGCGTTCAAAGAAATGTCCACAGGTGCGCCGAGTGCCGTTCGAAAATCACCGATATTGTTGGGGAATCTGCTCGCAGTGAAGAAAGGTTTAAAGTCGAAACTTCTACCCCAGTTTCTGAACTTTCTTAAGGACGGTGGTCCATTTTCGACCCTAGTAGATGAGCTGGACGAAAACTTGGCCAGTAAGTCCAACAAATGGGTCAGCAATCAGACGAAAGGTCAAATAACCAAAATTCTCGACGACGACCATACTGAGGACGATGCAAGAATGCTTCTGCTGAACGCCATACACTTCAAAGGCGAGTGGAAAGAGAAGTTTGAGAAACAGCTCGCTTTCAAAGGCACCTTCAAGAACTACGATGGCACCGACACGCCGACGACGTTTATGTTCAAGAGAAGGCACTTCGAGTACGCGCTTGATGCCACTTTGAAGACACACGTCATCTCGCTACCTTACAAGGACGTCAAAGCGAGGTTCGTCCTTTTGCTTCCACTGAACCGTGCGGGAGCGAAGGCGCTGGCCGGACTCTTGACCGCGTCCGAATGGAAGCGCCTCCTGGGAACACTGAGGAACACGAGCGTGGCCCTCTCGATGCCGAAATTTGAGCTTTCCAAGAAGTACAACCTCATGAAGTCGTTGGAGTACCTCGGCATCAAAAAGATATTCACCGACAAGGCCGATCTCTCGGGCATGATTGGCACGGGTGACATGTTCGTATCCGCGATCGAACAAGTTTCGAAACTGAGGCTGGACGAAGAAGGCAGCGAGGCTGACAGCGCGACGCTGTTGAGGATCTCGGGAAAGGCGGCCGAAGAAGGAGAGTCGGTCGTAGCCGATCACCCGTTCATATTTGCGGTGACGGCCGGGCGACGGGGCGACATCCTCTTCATGGGTCAAGTCAACAAACTACCCGCGACGTGACGCTTACTCGTGAGTGAGAGTGGCCTTCATCGCACAGTAATTATCAGATTCGATTAAAGTGTTCACGGTGTCCCGTCCCGGTGCGGTGCTTGTCAAAAGATCCGAGAGACGCAAGTCCTTACCGAAGGCGAAACGTCGCGAGAAGGGAAGTACTCCTGGTTTCGTTTTATGCTTAGTCTCGTGCCGTTACCTCTTGATAAACGAACAATGAAAGTGAAGGTCATACCAGGCTTCCTCAACGCGTACTTTCCGAAAATGTGGAAAGACTCTGTCTGTACGTCAAACAGCATGTACGCGAAGTGTTCTGATGAGTCTGGCGCTAATCTGTCAAAAATAAAAAGAAAGAGGAAAAAATAAATCCACCACCATCGTGGCATTGTCTCAGCTATCTTCGCCACCTCATGTGCCGGAAGGGCAGGTAACGCATCGCTTATTCGTATCGAAACACCACCGCCAACGGTATCTTCTATGAATTCTGTTTGATGCGACATTCAAAATGGTAGCAGAACCTGAAAGTTTGGCACAAAAAATAAATTATTAAGGAGAAGAGAAGTGTAAGTGTATAATACTTGAACGTTTATTACCCACACACGTTTCTGCACGGTGCGCTTTGTTCGTAACACTCATTCTTATCTGGAAGTATGCGCCTGTGTGACGTGAAAGTCCGTTTTTTTTTTTTTTCGAAATCGCCGCGCCCAGTTCCAAACCTCCACATTGCCTCATGTATTGATAAAAAAATGGCTTGAGAATGGAGTGTTATATAGGGTCAACACTGAAATATGCTTACTTTTCAAATAAAAAGGTTATTTTAAAAGTGGGTTGTTCTTAGCCTAGGCTTGCTGCGGAAAATATTCTCACGAAACGAAAGATAGACGCACAGCCCTAGTTGGGTTGGATGATAGCTTCTCGAATACAGCATTTCTGTTGTTACAGTGCGATGGAAACGCTGCTGTTTACAGGATTACGCTAACCGCTATGTGAGAATTCTCACACCTAGGTTTTCACCCATGTGTGTCTTTTCTCACCAACTGAACAGCTCATCGAACAAAGTGTATTGGTTGTTCATAGACGTAAACAAAGGCTCGCACACACAGATTTTCATGCTTCAAGATCTGACTAATTTCGTTTACGTCGTTCTCTGTACATTTAATATTGAATATGTTAGTTAACTGTAGGCGAGTAGCTAGTGACACCTTGCGCACAGCAGGTAACAATCGATATTATTCTACTTCACCTACATACGTGCTCGCGAGAGGGCGCCAGGTACCGTAGGAGCAAAGACGCGGCAGTTTTTTGGCGCCAACAAGTGGCTACTGTGAACGATTTAGAACGCATCGAAAAGCTTAACGTTATGTTCATAATGACTAGCATTGTGAAACGTGGTACGCGTTATCTAAGTGAGAGCAGCGAACGGATTCGAGTGTGCTAATTGAGACAAAAAAGGAAGAGCGGGGAATATGTGAGATGCCCCGTTATTCTGGCGTACTGTGGGAAGCATATGGTAACAACCGCATATGGCACATTATCAATAGCAAGCTTTTTTCTGATTACCAAATAACAGTCAGGTAGAGCAGTTAAGGTGCTATTCATCTCACGAAGCATTATTGCGAGCTCAAACGTCGTTTTACTATAATTAGGAATAATACGTCGAGCTACTGGCCTCGTAGAAATGCCCAGGGATCCGCATTAGGGAAGGGGTGGCTTAGCCGTGAAAGAAGCATTCAGAGCCTGTGCCCCCCCCCCCCCCCCCCCCCATTCTCCGAAATTTTTTCGCCATGCATACATAGCGCAAAATGACCACTTGCCTGCCCGGCCCACACTTAATAATAGGAAGTGCCGCCCCGCCCCCTTTTTCCCGACTCTTCGCTGGCCAGTCCGAATGACAGCGTGCTCCACGATGTATGAAAGGATGAAAATGAAGTGACGACATGCTTCACCGAAGGGCCTGCCTTTGGCTTTGCGGCTGTAACAAATGTGAAGTACAAGTGGTTCTTGGAATACACCATGAGGGGCTACGGCAGCCATTATTATAAAAATGTCAGCATGGCATGGCCATGCTGTTTAAACAACGCGGGACAGTTCTGACAGCTAAAGTGTATGGGTCAGACTTTGCGCTCTCACTTGAGATTAGCGGTGTTGGCTGCCCGACCCCCTGCCCGCTTACACCCCAGCCTCCCCCCCCCCCCCCCCACCCACGCACACATATGACTTGGCTAATGACAAACTTTAGAACGGTTTCAACGGAAGAAACGAGGAACGAGCCAAATATTTCGAACGCACAAGTGCGAAATCTGACAGAAATAAGAGTGGTCTGCGGTGAAAACGTCCTCGTTTTGTTCAAGAAGATGTGGTACTGTGCCAAGCTACGCTTTTTGTGAGGTGTTTACTTTTTTTTTCTTCAAAATCGCTTAGCCGTTTCTTCTCTGCGTGTACCTCAAGAATGGTAAGTGATTCCGCTTGCATACAGAAAAGTTCGCATGCTGGACTACAACGTGAGAATTAACTGCACAGAGAAAACTCGCAAATGTCGCTTGTATTTCTTAAAAGGACACCAAAAACTCAAACGATTTTTTGAGTTTGTACAAAATATAATTCCTCAATCCCGAAAACACAACTCGTACCACGACACGACGTTTGGTAAGCGAGAAAACGCGCAAAAATAAAACACAGCTGGGGACGTCACCTTGATATTCCCGCACCAAGCACCGTGACGTGATACATTTTGAAGGCGTCTACTAGGTTCTGCGTAGCTTCCAATGCATAAAAAATCAAGTACATTGTCATCTGTGGGTGCCATAGACCTGGCATACGAATTTTCGGGTAATTTAATCGAGTCAATGTCGCGAGAATACGAAAAACACATTTCGAAACGTATTACGAATATTTACGCGAATATTTGTGGCGTGCAGGGGCAACGCCACTGTACGCCACAATTAACCGCGAATCGTTTAGTTTTTGTACCTCTGTCGCTACACAACCGAGAGTTATTAGGCGAAAGTCTTAGATGTCTCATCAAACACAAAAAAATTCCGCCATATCCACGAAGTGAATGATGATGAGTGGGCGAAGCTCCGGAGGTAAACCTGGTAAACCATGAATCCTCTGTACATTTTGCCCACTCGATTTTATTACATCGCTCCCCCTAGCGTACGTCGCCGCACTAAATCGAACGATTGCCTTCAACCAATGACACGCGTCATATGTGACATCATTCCTATTTTATAAGATCTCGCGTCTTTCATCAACTACAAGTACCGCTTTCTAGTTTATAACATCTTGCATCTTTTCATCATCAGCTACAAGTACCACCATCTAGTAAACACTACAAGAACTAAACGAGAGGTGGCTACATACAGGAGGCGGTACCGCCATCTAGTGAACACTGCAAGAACTAAACTAGAGGTGGCTACATGGATGGAATGGATGGATGCTATGAGCGTCCCCTTTATAACGGGGTGGTGGCAAGTATGCCACCAGGCTCGACAAAAAAAAAAAAAAACCTTTTTTCTTTTTTTTTTATGTTGGCCTAATGCCTCTACTTCGATAAATTCTATCTTAATGGAAAAAAGGTAAATTTTCAGCTTAAGTTCTCTGCCATTTACGGCACACTGTCCATATTTTATTTTTCCAATATTTATTTTTGTCCTTTCTCTCTAATTTTCTGCCACCAATACTCTAACCGTCTCTTACTTATTTCAATCGCGGGTGTGTTCAGCTTTCCATTGTTGTCCCTAAAACCCAAGGCTTCCTGTAGGCTCGTGCCCAAACGTACACCTAGGTGGATATCTCCACATTCAATCAGAACATGCTCCGCCGTTTCCTTATCTTTCCCGCAGCATGTGCATTGTTCTTCTTCTTTACTGAATCTTGCTTTATAACTACGCGTTCTAAGGCAACCCGATCTCGCTTCAAACAGTAAAGCGCTTCCCCTTGAATTATCGTAAAATGCCTCCCTCCTTATTTCATTTTTGCATTTTTGCTACATACAGGGGATGGTACCACCATCTAGTGAACACTGCAAGAACTAAAGTAGAGGTGGCTACATACAGGCTACAGGGGACGCACAGCCCACGCCCTAAGGAGCTTCGCCCCTAAAATTGACCGGCGTCCCACGTGGACATCTCACGTCGGCGTCATCGACACGGGGGTCGCAAAAAAAGTCATCGCGTGATGACGTCAATACATGACGTCGTCACGACGTCGGAGGTCACCAAAAATTTGTGACGTCAAATTCTATGACGAATTTGCATGGCCAATGGTGGGCCGATCTTGGAGTCAGTGCAAAAGCCATCACAGATGAATAAAAACTTTCAGTGTGTGCCAGAGCCGGACCAGTGCATTAACTGAAATGAAAAAGAAGATGGCCTTCACCTTCGATTCATCTTAGGTGAATGCTCAAAATATCATGTGACTTTTTATTACTCCCGTTGGCACTACGAGCATGTTATCACTATATATTTTTTCACGATCCTCATAAGAATGGCATGGCGAATGCCCCTACGACGTGGTGAGAACATGTTTTTAAATAAGCGCATTGGTCTACCGAAATGCGCATGAAACGCGAAGATAAAACAGCGAATAGAAGAAAAACAATATCCAAAGTAGCAGCAATTCTTAGCACCTTGAATTTAGACGCTTGGGAGGGCTTGGGTCTCATGGAGAGCTAACTATCCATGCAAAGTTATTCTTCGTAATAACGAAGAGTGAAAATGAGGTCCCGAAACCGCCTGAGCGCACACATGCGCTGGATGCTCTTTCAGGAACCGACGGTTCTGTCAGGTGAATAACTATAGCTAAGGAGAAGAGATCGACTCTTAAGAACAGACGGCTCACCATTTCACTTGGTTAGGCTAAAATGTTCAAAACCTTGGTGCGATTAGGAAGCATGGTGCGTTGCACATAGGAACCTCCGGATTAACCTCACAAGCGAGTGTTTCGCGGTCCGATAAACAAAAAATAAGCCCACTAGCAGCTTTTTTATTTCATATTAGTCACTAGCCATGGTAATGTAGTGGTTTTTGGTGCTGGACTGTTGAACCTATGGCCACATGTTTAAATAACTACCGCTGTTCAAACCAGTGGTTTAAATCACGATGCAGGCGAAATACATTTAGGTCAGTGTTACAGAACACGAGATGATCGATATTTCAGGAACACTTCACTACGCGTCCCTCATATTTATATTGAGGTTTTTGAACGTAAAACGTCCCCTATTATTATTGCGTGCCGAATAAGATGCGGTCGCCTCTGGTGGAACCAAACGTGCGACCACGAGCATAGCAAGACAGTGCTATAGCAACGAACTACAATGTGGGGCTTGGCTCATAACATATTTTTTCTTAAAAACATACCTACAAATATACATACTTACAAACAACCGACGACCAGATAATGTAAGCTAACGCTCGCATTCACGCCGTTCAATGCACTCTAAGGAAGAGACATTACCATTGAGCGAGCCTGGATTTGTCGCGTGATGTTTGGTACTTTGTACGTACCCCAACTAAACAACCATGTTCGATTATTTTTTTAGATGATAGTATTTCTTGGAATACTTAAACACAGAAATTTTTGCCTGTCTGTCTATCTGTCCGTCTATCAGGCGATTAAGCCACCCGCTTAACGTTCGAGCACTTTCGGAACGCCCAGACATGTAGAACCGGTGGCTGCGTTCATACTTTTGAACATTATAAATGCAAAAAGCAAATATTACGCATATATGGTGTGCACCATCAATACGTAGGTATTAGGTGGTGTGTTCCTTTACTGGGAAGTACAAAAGTGCGTAAATATGAAGACCCTAGTGTTTCTTACGCTGCGCTGATAATGCGGCGCTATGCAAGAAAAAAGCTCTGCCGACTATATGGTGCTGTCACTGACGTGGGAGTGCCCCTGCGTTCTACGCAAGCTCATAGTTCCCAGCGGCACTGCCAGATGGCATCCATATCTCACGCAGCACCTCCTCTCTTTAATCATTGTCAGCCAGATGCAGCCAATTGAACATAAGAGGAGGCGCTGAGGCAAGGTAAAACACAAATTTGCATTGACGTTTTGCATCTATCTACCTATCTATCTATCTATCTATCTATCTATCTATCTATCTATCTATCTATCTATCTATCTATCTATCTATCTATCTATCTATCTATCTATCTATCTATCTATCTATCCGCTTACGACTTTTAGCTCTCCTGGCCGTTTTATAATGGTATCGATACCAAACTTGGTGTGCCATGACATGACTGTGTGATGAGCATACGTGACTAGCCAAACATGAAAATCATGATATGAATGTCTTGATTTACATTTCATGGTCTTGCTGCTCTTGCGCTGGTTTCGTTCACATAACATGTTGCAAAACTGGTTTGATATGGCATGATTCCATGGCGAACACAAGCGACAGATCCTAACATGAAAATCATGACATGCGTGTCATGTAACAACCTGACTTCATGCCACGCTCATGACGCGCTCACGGCCATTGCGGTAGCTTCACCTACACCGAATTTGGTATTACGGGACGTGAATGGATGACGAAGGTATGATACTGGTGCAAACATGATAAACATTAGATGCATGTCATGTAACAACATAACTACATGCTACGCTCATGATGCGCTCGCGGCCGTTTCACTAGCTTCAATGTACTAAACTCGGTATTATGCGACGCGAACGGACGACATAGGTAAATGACACATCTAAACATGATAATCACGACATTTGTGTCATGTAACAACATGACTACATGCCACACTCATGATGCGTCGCGGCCGTTTCGCTAGCTTCACATATACCAAATTTGGTATTACGTAACGTCAGTGGATGACGAAGGTATGCGACTGGTGCAACATGATGATAATGACATGCGCGTCATGTGAGAACATGACGACATGCCACAGTGAAGGCGCCAATACATTTTGACGTGACGGGGTGCACGTGCTCGCCGGCGTTCATTTTGTCGCGTCACGCCGGCGTTGCCACGCCAGGCACCGGTCCTGCCATATACTCGCAGGCGTGCGCTGCGCTGCGTTGCTTTGACGCATGCGCGTGTCAGCGCGTACGGCGTCCCTCCGTCACGAAAAGAGGGAGACGCAGTGTTGTCTTTTAACGCGTCGGCGCAAATTTCGCGCCGGTGGACGTCGGGCCGCGCCGACGGATGCTGGTCGCGTCGGTCACGCCTGGCATCAGACTATACAGTGCTCGCGTTTTGTTAACGTAGCGTCGCTGTGCCCAGCGTGCGCGCCCGTCAACGCTACATTATAGTGTAGTGGGCGTTGGCGGACTGCGCTGCTCAGTTCGGGCCTGTACAAGTAACTTTGGGTGATCCAGCAGACCAAGGAGGCTGTCGGGAGACACGGTCTCTCCGTTGGCCCCTAGGTGGGAGCCCATCCCAGCAATCTGCCGGAAATTAATAAAGTCGACATCTCTCTCTCTCTCTCTTCATGATGCGCTCGCGGCCGTTTCGCTAGCTCCATATATACCAAATTTGGCGTTACGTGACGTCAATGGATAACGAAATATATGAGTGGTGCATACATAATAATCCTGACACGCGTGTCATGTAAAAACATGACAATATACCATGTTGATAGTGTGCTCGTGGCCGTTTCGCAACTCTACATTTACTTAATTTGGTATCACGTGACCTGAATAGATGACGAAGGTAAACGACGCATCCGAACATGGTAATCATGACACTGAAGTCATGCACGGCATCATTTACCTCCACCTTGTAACATTGTGCTGACTTTAAAGTGACATATCAAGTTTTCATATTATTGCTTCGCATATCCTCGATTCCCACTGTACGTGGGATCTGCCGATTTTTTTTCTAAATTCATCACTTCATCTTTTCAAGCGTCTCCGTGCGTACCTGGGCTGGCGCACGCCCGTCATGGAGAGCCAGCTCCCGATGAAGGCTCCAGCCTTTAACATTGTCGTCTCGAAGGTACTAGTCCCGGAGACGTCGTTGACGCGACGTCTTCGATAGTAGGGATCGAGGAGGTTTATTGTGTACAGCGTTTTGAAGGCCGGAATTGCCAAATCACCGTAAACAGTGAAGCTGCTCTAGCTCAAATCGCCGACGCGTCACACCTCATCATCACAATAGAGCACGTTGCTGTCGTGCCTTTGGGGCCCGAAGTCACTCAAGTCATCGTTCTGTTCCTGCCATGCCACGTCCCTGCAGCGAGGTCCTCGCGCAAGCACTGTCTCCCTACGGGAAGGTGCCGCACATCAGCAGAGGACTTATGGGATCGCGCCTGACCATGAACACTGGGACGCGATACGTTCGAAGGGAAATGAAGACCTCGTTGCCTGTGCCCAACTACCTCAAGGTCGCAGGCCATCCAGTCACGGGTGTGCCATCGATGTCGATTCAGTGGGCACTTACGCATAAATTGCACAGCACCGTTTTGTGGAAGGTGTGTAGTTTATGTTCACGACGGAGGAAAGGCTGTTCACTGCCATGTCACCATTGTGGTGGCCCGCATGCCAATGTCGCCATCGTATTCGGAGGCGGCATCCAAGAATTACCCACTCCTTCAACTAGGAACGCAGGCCAAGAACAAGGACGACGCCTCGTCGATGACAGCCGCGAACATCAGCGTAAACCATGTTGGGCACCCCACCACAGAGGTCTAGTGGCTAAGGTACTCGGCTGATAACCCGCCGGTCGCGGGATGGAATTCCGGAGGAGGCGGCTGCATTTTCGATGGAGGCAAAAATGCTGTAGGCCCGTGTGCTCAGATTTGGGTGCAAGTTAAAGAACGCCAGGTGGTTGAAATTTCCAGAGCCCTCCACTACGGCGTTTCCCATAACCATATGGTGGTTTTGGACATTAAATCCCACACATCAATCAATCAATCAATCAATCAATCAATCAATCAATCAATCAATCAATCAATCAATCAATCATCCGACCACGTTGGGCGGATTGCGATGCCACATTAGACGCCATACCAGGCACCCCATAAAACGCCCACTGCGTCTCCAGCTAGCCTGGACTAGGCAATCCCTGACGGTCCGGAGGATTTATGCAGTGACCCGCGACCAGTGGTCACTCTCACAGAACCACAGGTCGAGCCCCCGCCAAACAAGGCAGCTCTCGGCGAACGCGTCGCAGATAGCAACGCGATATCTGACACTCACCCCATGGCTGCCCAGTCCTCTGTTAGTCCTCCTGTCACTGAGGAGACTCTGCCCCAAGATGACAAAGCTTCCGTCTACGAGGACTCAAGCAGCACGGCAAGTGAGACGGCCCTGTCGATAGACGACGACAGCACCCCAAGAAATATCAGCCGGGACAGCTTCGACGCGTTTGTACCGTTTTGCTGAAGAGCTCCGGCACCAAGCGCCACCGGATACCTAGCAGCGACTTAGAGGTCCCCAACAGAGACTGAAGCCCCCTGCGGACTACAGCGCGGCCCCGGAAGTCCCGTGCTTGTGGTGGGTCGCCTGGTCGTAAGAAGTGACTGAGCCACTGACGGGACACCCGCTCCCGCGTCTGTTAGTGCTTCGTCTAGCATCCAAGTTGGTATTTACTGTTTATGATGGCTAGTTTACTGAATATTTCATTGAATGTTCAAGGTTTTCGCAGTGCGGCAAAGCAAGCCGATGTGATCTGTGCAGCCCGTGCTGCTGATTTCGACGTTTTAAATGCGAAGCATTTCTTAGCGAACTTCGGCGACATTGAGCGTATCTATCTATCTATCTATCTATCTATCTATCTATCTATCTATCTATCTATCTATCTATCTATCTATCTATCTATCTATCTATCTATCTATCTATCTATCTATCTATCTATCTATCTATCTATCTATCTATCTATCTATCTAGCCGTTACGACTTTTAGCTCTGCCGGCCGTTTCAATAATGGTATCAATACCAAACTTGGTATGGCATAACACGACTATACGAAAAATATATTTGACTACTCATGGCACAAAAATCATGACATGTATGTCATAAAGTCATGATTTCGATGTGATGGTCCTGCCGCTCTTGCGGTGGTTTCGTTCATATGGCATGCTGCAAAACTGTTACGGTATGACATGACTACATGGCGAACACAAGCGACAGACCCTAACATGAAAATCATGACAAGAGTGTGATGTAACAACATGGCTACATGCCACGCTCATGGTCCACTCTCGGTCATTTCGCTAGCGTCACATATACTAAATCTAGTATTATGGTACGCGAATGATTGACGAAGGTGTTTAACTAGTGCAAACATGATAATCATTAGATGCGTGTCATGTGACAACATGACTACATGCTACGCTCATTATGCGCTGGCGGCCATTTCGCTAGCTTCACTTATACCAAATTTGTTAATACGGGACGTGAATGGATGACGAAGGTATGATACTGGTGCAAACATGATAAACATGAGATGCGTGTCATGTAACAACATGACTACATGCTACGCTCATGATGCGCTCGCAGCCGTTTCGCCTGCTCCACATGTACCAAACTCTTTATTACGCGATGCGAACGGACGACATAGGTAAATGGCACATCCAAACATGATGTTCACGACATGCGTGTCATGTAACTACATGACGACATGCCACACTGATGATGCGCTCGCGGCCATTTCGCTAGCTTCACATATGCCGAATTTGGTATTACGTGACGTTAATGGATGACGAAGGTATGTGACTGGTGCAAACATGATCATTACGAGATGCGTGTCATGTGAGAACATGACTACATGCCACAGTCAAGGCGTCAATACATTTCGACGTGATGGGGTGCACGTGCTCACCGGCGTTCATTTTGTCGCGTCACGCCGGCGTTGCCACGCCAGGCACCAGTCCTGTCACATACCCGCAGGTCCGCGCCACGCTGCGTTGCTTTGACGCAGTCGCGTTTCAGCGCGTCCGGCGTCCCTCCGTCACGAAAAGAGTGGAACACAGTCTTGTCTGGGTAACGCATCGGTGTGCATTTCGCGACGGTGGCCGTCGGGCCACGCCGACGGACGCTGGTCGCGCCGGTAGCGCAGAGTGCTCGCGTTTTGCTAACGCAGTGGGCTGTACCCAGCGTGCGCGTGCGTCAACGCTACATTGGAGTATACAATGGGGCCCTTCATGATGCGCTCGCGGCCGTTTTGCTAGCTTCACATATGCCAAATTGGGTGTTACGTGATGTCAATGGATGACAAAATATATGACTGATGCGAACATGATAATTCTGACACGCGTGTGATGTAAGAACATGACAACATACCACGCCAATAGCATGCGCGTGGCCGTTTTGCTAGCTCCAATTTACTAAATTTGGTATCACGTGACGTGAATAGATGACACATCCAAAGATAATAATCATGACACGAAAGTCATGTACGCCATCATTTACCTCCACTTCGTAACGTTTTGCTGATTTTAAAGTGACATATCAACTTTTCTTATTCGTGCTTCGCATATCATCGATTCCCGCTGTGCGGGGGATCTGCCAATTTTTTTGTGCCTGCAGGAAACGAATTCCTTTTCGCTACGGGGGGTTCGGGCTTTTAAAGGAAATTTTAACGTAGATTGATATTTCTCTTTTGCGACTTGTTTTACATAAGTAACTATTACATATTTAGTCGGGCTTTATTGAGGGGTCACTGTGTTTATCATCATGCCGTCTGTAGAATTCAGGCTCTAGATTTTATACTGTTCGGTTGAGGATACTCCTGGTGTATGCGCGTGCACAATTTAAGCTGGACACAATTTTTTTCGAGATTTGGATGTCTTTTTTTTTCTCGATGGTCGTCACGTAATTCGAATTGAATATTTCAACTGTGCGCTTAATACGCGGAGCGATGTCTATGGTCCTGGCTAGGGTAGGTCTGCTTAATTGGAGTGTACGTGAACTTAGACGCCTTGTCCAGCACTTTTGATTGCTGAACGCGCACAATGCCGTGCACGGAATTAATTTTGTTTTGACATGGAGTCGTGGACCTCCCTCCAGTAGACTCGACCGGGTTTATGTTCCACGTGCTTTAGAAGCGCTGATTTACGTGGTCCGTTCATCCCACCTTCTCCAGTGTATATCTCCGATCATCTTACAATCTTCTTTGAGCTTGAAATTCCATTTTATTTTCCGAAGAAACCATGGCGCCTTGAGGTGCGCGTCCTCCAGGACGCATGCTCTGGGTCACATTAGTCACGTGCAACACATGTGTCACTCGCTACGTCTGGTCCAGATGATTGGGATACGCTTAAAAACGCAGTGCCGTCTGCACTGCTCAGTTGAATGGCGTTCGCTTCATCGTCGTGTTCTTGAGGACCTGGCCTATACTGCAACAGGGGGGCGCTGCGAGCGCTCGATGGTGACGGACGCACTCCACATCGCCTCCGTAGATTTTATGCTATTTCTGCGGACATCCACCTTGGTACCCCTGAAACTTGGATTTGTCGTCACCGCCAAGTTCTCCGCTTCGCGTAGACAACACCTTCGTCTAAGTGGGTCCATTTTTGACCACTTGAGGGACGTTCTTCCCTCCCGGCTACAACGGCGCCTCGCTAAGGGCTCTCAGCCCGGCGATGGCGGCCGCTAACGTGGTTACGGGCTATGATCCTACCTCAAGCCAAATGCTGTCCATGGAGATTTCATCCTCCGAAAACACTATGCCATCAGAAGATGAATACCTCGACGACATGGTGAGACTGTGGCAACGCAAGCAAGCGAAATCGAAGTCTGCGTCTCAACAACAACGAGACGCCACGGCGGGCCACCATTCCCCAGCCTTGCAAGGAACGCCGGCGCGCCATCCCTCCGGTGGTGTGCCTACCACTGCTCCGTCTTCGCAGCCAGCGAAGCTACGCAAGTGGCGTCCGCGTCAAACTCCTCGCCTCTCTCGCGACCACTACATCGTAGTAGTGAAACCTCGCGTTCCCTGCGAGCTACGCACATTTGTCCCGCCGATCGCGCGAGCGACGCCATCCGCAGCTACCTCGGCGACCCGACTACCACGCAAGTTCAAGTGTGGCCAATCTGGGAACAGAACATATTGGTCTGTAGCACCACCATTTTGCCTATGGCACAGCGACTCCTCGGGGACTTCCAGCTGCAAGTGGGGGATCAGCAGCTGCCCGTTTGAGGCCACGCCAAGGCACCAGGGGATACATGCAAGGGCGTCATCAACGTAAACCCTGCTGAAAGCCCGGAGAAGATAAAGTCTGAACTGTATTGGCCTCGAGGTACTATCCTTGCGGTCCGCAAACTCGGAGATTCCGCGGCGGCGGTGGTGACTTTCGAGGGCACGAAGTTACCCCGCTTCCTCTTCTACCACTGCGTAGCGACGTATATCCGCGCCTACAAAAAAACGGTCCCTGTTTGCACCAAGTGCGGTACCATCGGTCATCGACCACCTCAGTGTCCTCACCCCGCTCTAACCCAGTGTGCCAAATGTGAAACCCCCGCACCTGCAGGTCTCAATGCCCACGACTGCCACCCCAAGTGCCTCCTCTGCCACGGCGCCCATGAGACTGGGACCAGTGGCTGCACGGCAAAATATCAAAAATATCGGAAACGCAAGCAGCCCTCAACATCTCCTCGAGGGACCACCTCATGTTCGTCACAGCCAGACAGCAGCACCAACCTGCATCATTCGGCTCCACCACTCCACGCCGACACTCAAGCATTCCCACTGCTTGAAGCACCAGCGGCGGTACCTCAGGTGAGCAGTTGGGCAGGGAAAGGTGCTTCTAAGCCTCTCTCACCCCCTTCTGTCGATCCTCCTTCTCCCGAACTTGCGGCCCTTCGCCAGCAAGTTGCGGCACTTCAAAAGCAAAATTCTCTTCTAACTAAACAACTCGAACTTTTAAATAAGCGACTTCAACCCCAACAACAGTGTACTGCAAGGCCTTCCGGTATTGCCTCCTCTGTCCAGGCGGCTACGCCAGCTACGTCCAAGCTTAGTCCTCGCGCTAAGTCCACTCCCATTAAACCGCCGGTTCAAGCAACCATGTGTACTCCAACACTCGGAACCGGTGCCACATCTACTTCAGAAGCTCTTGAGGCTCCTGGGGCACCTCAGGTTCTCTTGCCCGCTAACCAAACTCTCCCTAGCGAAGAGCGCACCCCGCGCAATGAGGAACGCCTCACGCGCGTCGAAGCTTCGATTAATAACCTCCTCACCAGCTTTTCGGTCCAACGCATAGTAGTAGAGGTTACCCAGGCTATTCAAGCCTGGGCAGTCACCCAGTTTCAACCCAATGCATCGCGTTCCCGCTCCTGCTCGGTGAGCAGTGATGG